AAAAAAAAAAAAAAAAAATACATTGCGGGACACATACAGCCCACTTTGATCTTAAGTGGGCCGGACGAGTGAAACTCCGCCTTCCTGTCAGTGTAAAGAAATTCTGTTTTTCTACACGATAACGAAAAGGCTCCTGCGACAAAGAAAGAAATCTGTCTTGACTCAAATTGTAAGAAATAAATGTGTAAAATTATAAAACAAGTTCTGTTAGCTCATTGCCCAGACTGTCCTTTTTTTCAGCTGTAGTCGTAAAAAAATGTCTACAGTAGAAAGTGAAAAGCAGAAACTATTCTGTCATTTGATTATTTATTGTTTAATTACTTTGTGTAGTATGAATGGCTACAAGGGAGGGTTTTATCAATAGGAAAAGCTGCAAAAAATATGAAAATACAGTTAAAAGTCCAAAATGTCTGCTTGTGCTTGTTTGTGGTGAGCAGCAGATCAAACAAGTTAAGAATTATAAGAATTATAAATGGCTTCAAGTGCACATTCAGGCCTTTTAGACTCATTTAGACACTGAGCCACTGCTCTGTGCTACATGCAAATATTCCCACATCTCTGCCATTCAAAGACACTTTGTATATAGTTTATTTTATGTAATATTTAGTATTATAAATTAAGTTACTTTCAAGAAGGTATTTTTATGCATTTTCTCCTACTATGGAGAACACACATGAGGTTTAAGGCCTGGACATGTTTGACATCTTTTGTCCTCCACGGTGGAAAATGGCTCAAAATAAAAACTGGAATCACTTTAGGCAGCTCCTAATTTAATAAATTCTGCAATCAGCTTTGCAGTCTCCAATATCACTGAAATGCACCTTGATGATGCTCATTTTACATTTTGCTCCTTTCTTCACTTCTTCCCGACACTTTTGAGTTTACTTCTGTGTACCTGGCCTGTATGCCTATACTGGCTGGCTTCAGAACGTCTGCCCCCCTTTCTTGTTTCACATAAAGGTTTGCATGTGATTGGCCGGATGGTGTGCCCATCAAAATAAAGTCCCACTCCTTCCTGGATTCTCAGCAGGACTGAAGATTCGGCTCGCACATACCAATGGGCCATTAATAATTGACATATGAAATTATCTCACTCGCCTGATACAATTATATCCGGCCCACGGGCCATATGTTTGACACCGCTGCTCTAAACTCATCAGGAAAGTGTTTACTGAAGTCAGAGCTGAGAGCAGTTTTACCTCAGATTTCTACAGATGAGATTTTCTTCATTTTTGAGACTCGGAAGCTTTCATGCTCTCTGTGCTGTGTCCTGGTATTAGATTATTTGAAGTGTCTTATTAAAGAAGCTTAAAGGCTAGGTTCTCACAGAAATTCTGGAGTCATAAGTATCTTCTCTCTAATCTTTCTGTGATTTCTAACTAGATTTATGGATGTTTACTTGAGGGAGCATGTTTGAGGTGGATAATGACATCTTTGGTAAATGTGACACTGAATCCAAAAGCATGCGTGTCGTGTTTTCATGACCAGCTGTGACTCACAAGGATGAGGATTTTGGAAGCAAATTGTGAATATCAGGCTTAATTTGCATCCGCAGTTCTTGCAGAAAAGAGAAAATTATGCGGCAGAGACGTATTAATACGAATGCATCAAAACCAATGTATGTATCCTATAATGAAAGCTGTGTGTTTAGATCGATGGAAAAACGGCCACCTGCATTTTGCCATCTGTTAGAGGCCAGATGGATGCGATGCTATGTAAATGCACTCCTACAGTAACGTGTTGACTAATGATAGCTGTTTATTCATTGACATCTCTCAGCTGTGATTATTGGCCTTGATTCATCATGAAATCACAGGCTATAAATTGCGGACAAAAATCAGTTTATATCTGAAACTTTCCGTAACTTGAATCAAGTTATACAATTGATCAAGTTTGTAGCAAAAATGTAAACCTCCTTTCCAGTCCATGAATTCAATTAGTCTTTTTTTCCCCTGTTCTTCCATCTATTGCTGTGATTTTTTTTGAGTAACTTACAATTGTCACTGCTCTAAGTCTCAGCAAACTCTATTCAAAGTAGACATTTTTCCCTCTGTGTGTCTTTAAAGTGAAAAATGTTTTACATAGCTTTGGACATGAGAGAACTTCAAATGTTCTAAAAAAAATCCTCTCTGTACTCTTTTCAGACATAAAGCTACTAAAAAGCAGCCATGTGAAAACATTACTGTGGCGTACTACTTCTGTGAGGAGCTGATACCTTACAGGACTTCTGTCAAAGGGAGGGTTGTCACGCTGGGCCAGTTCAAAGAACTGCTAACAAAGAAAGGAAATTACAGGTGAGACTCACGGTGCTACTGGGTTACATGTGGGGTGTCTTCTGGTATCAAAGAAAGTCAAGTTGACCTTGTATTATTTTTTTTTCTCTTCTTAGGTATTATTTCAAGAAGGTAAGCGATGAGTTTGACTGTGGGGTGGTGTTTGAAGAGGTACGTGAAGATGACGCTATCCTGCCCATCTTTGAGGAGAAGATCATTGGCAAAGTAGAAAAAGTTGACTAAAGGGGAGAGAGCCGAGTAGCCAGCGTATGATGGACTGAGGAGCAAGTGGATGGTGAAGAGGAAGTGCTTTACAAAGGAGAATGGATAAGGAGGTGAGAAAAAAGGTGGATCCAGAGTCAGAAGATTATAGTAGTGGTCATTGACTTCTGTATCACGGCTGCAGCGAAGTTGGACTTGAAGAAGAAAAATCTCCTTTTCTTTTTGGAGTGTAATGTAGCATTGTAAAGTTTACTAGAAAACAAGAACAAAAAGTGCTACTAATGCTACGTATTTTTGATAATGACTTATCAAAGGGTTTCCTTTCTAAAGTAACTGCACTTGTAATTTTTATATGTATTGATACCAGATGTGTACAGTTTGTGTTAAAATACAGCAAAAATTTTCTATCTATTTAAGTATTTAAATTGCTACCTAATTAAAGCTGAAGCGTTGCCCCTCGTGAAGACGATCCGATTCCTCGATAGGGCTGATTCTTGTTTGCTTTTTTTCATTAATTGTAAGAGCCCTCTGGACTCTAATGTTTGTGACTTTAAAGTGCTTTTAATACTTCACTTCTCAGAACTTTATTTAGAGGCATCAAATCAGACTGCTTGTTCGTTATATTATATACTACTGACTCGGTGTAGACCTTCTAAAGAACCCATTCTTGCAACCCAGTGTAGGAATTTTATTAATGTATTTAAAAATATATTTAAAAAGTCCAATACAGAATAGATTATAATGTCTGTCTTATGGCTCGGTCACACATGAGTAAAAGTAGGATGGCAACCTTCTTGCAACAGTTTGATTGCACTGAATTTGTTTGCTGTTGGACTGCAAGTAGTTATGGCCACAAGCCTCCAGTGGTTTAATGTGCAACACCCTCAACCTGTGGGTGACCACTTTAGATCTCCTCTGCCATTTGAACAGGGCCAAGCAGTCACGATTTGAGTTGGACTGACTGCAGTCACTCTTAGATTAGCAAAGGCTGACAAATATCTGCCATTTAATTTATAAATGCAGACTGCAAACATATTCCAGTCGTTCTGAGTCAGTCTTGCTGCCTTGCATCGTTTTGCATTAGGGGACTTGATAGGTTGTCAAACACCCATGCTATTTTGCAGTTAAATTACTGTCCTACAGAAACTATGTCACTATTTTTGGAGGAATCTGTGTTTCATATCTGTGAGGTTCTGGCTTGACTCTGAATGTAAGTAGTTAATGTGAATTTCTGTGTATGTAGTTGGCAACAGATTTTCTCTTTTTGGCGATTTATTGCGTGCCAACTTGACCCCAACGAAAGTTGCTTTAAAAATGGCAACTTACTACATTTGGTTGAAGCAACCGTTACAAAGGCAACAAGACCACAAGTTTATTGCATGTGGCTTCAATTATTTTTTTTTGTCACAGTCTCTCAGCCACTGTTTTCCCTGGTATAGGTGACTGTAACAGAGAACAACCATATCCTCCATACATTTGCTGTATATGGCATGTAAGTGTGGCTTATTGCTATGTTCTTTAAGATTTGTCCATTACATTGCTTTTATCCTAAATTAAACTTAACAGGTGAAAATGGATGCAATAATAGTGACGAAAAAGTTGTGATTAAAAATCCCAAGGTGAATACCTATGCAACTTGGTTTATAATTTTGGTTACTTAACAACAACAAAAAAAACATTAGGCGTTGCGTTTTTTAAGTCAAAATAAGCACATTAAATAGAAAAAAATATATAATTAAAGACTTCACATATCTGTCAGGCTATAAAAAGTCAGTATCAATAAATTAAATAAAGCCAACATTTGAAACGGCACGAGATTTTGCAGATTTTTCGTTCTAATTATTTATTGACTTGTGTAAAACTGATATTACCAGTTAAAATTCTAACTTTTGCTTGTTTGAGGTAAACAAGTTTTAATTTTTTTTTAATTTTTAATTTTTAATTACAGAATCTATTTGGACATCGTGATGCCAAAAAGCATCTCAATATCAATTTCAAGTTTATTTTTTGTCTTTTCAACTTTGAGGTCCTTAGTTGGCTGGTAAATTAATAAGGGACTGCACTAAGAGCTCATGTCTACTCGATAGCCTTTTCTAGCTTATAACAGTCACATATTGTGCCTGACAGGATGTGTTTATTGACGTTTAGTAAATTTGCGACGGACACATTAAACCAAAGAGGAGGAAAAGGAGGCAAATGCTCATAAATGTTGAAGCCTCGTTTCCAAAATAGCTGTAAGTGAAAGCCTACAGAATTGATTTGATTTCAGCAACTTGCTTCAAAAAAGATTGGACAGTTTCATAATATACAAACATGTAAAATGTATTATCCAAGTAACAGGGTTTAAACCATTTAGGCTTTAATATATTTGAATAATACACTTTTACTACAGTGGTGTTTTTCCACCTGTTTGTATTTTCTGACTTTTTGATTTTGGCACCAGGTTTATACTGAAATATCTCACACAAAAAAAGTCAGCTAGGGTGTCTAAGGTGACATTAAGATTCAAGGCCTCCATGTTTTATTTTTTCTTATTTTCTGTTCTTCCCCATTGTGCTGAAGCAGTGTGCTCTAATGAGTGTGTATTCCTTTGTAATGGAAAGACCCGTGGGCCTTGAATTCAAAGTGCTGTATTGTATGCGTTGTTGCGTAGAACCTTGTGTAAAGAATGCCTGCTTTTTTTTTTTCTTGACATGCTGCTTTTTTTAGATTTCTAATTTAAGTCAGTTTAATATATGAAGTGCGTTAGCCTTCTGTTGTCGTTTGCCTGGTAAATTGTGTATTTAACAAATTGAAATTCCCATTTATTATTTCTTTTAAAATATCAACTGTATCATCAGTCTTACTGTAATAGTCCCAGAAGTGAACTTCTCTTATTTAAGATCAGTATGTGGATAACAAACAGCAGAGTGCCTTTATTGCTATGCTAATGATGTCTTTAGTGTAACTTTCTGAGGGATATGGGGACGAGCTTTAATTTTGCATTGCCATGAGTTTAGTTCAGTATTTGTAACAGTTCCACCTTTTAATGTAAATATGTAAAACTTAAATTGCCCCTGACCAGCAGCCCAACTGTCTCATTCAGTACCTTGGAGCGGTTTCTGTTCAGTGACTGGCATGGGAACCATTTGAGGTACCAATAAATACTTGCAATAAAAAAGCACTTGTGTTCAATACAAATTGTTCCGTTGCATCTTTATTTGCTGAATTGGTTATGTAGTAGTGAGTGTTGTGGCACAATAAAATTTGTAGCCGTGCTAGGAAATGTAAAGGTTTTGTCAAAATTTTCCCAAGTGCTTTTGGTCAGATGAGATGAAGCGAGAGCTCTCTGGGCATAGAGACGCTACTTACATTTGTCGTTGTTTTGACTTCCAACATGACAGTGACCCAAAACATATGTCGCTCCCGGTGAAGAACAGCCTCGAGAAGACCAGAGTGAACATTACTGACAGCCCTGCACAAAGCCCTGACTTATTTATCTGTGGGTTGAAGTGAAGGTTGAGGTCCATGCCAGAGAACCACTAAATCTGGGGGATTTGACGAAAAAACAGTGGGCTGGGATTGCTCAGGAGACGTGTGGGAGACTTGTTGAAAACTCAAATGACTG